TTTGTTACAGTATATCCTTACGAAAAAAACCCTCAATTTTGGGCATAAAACACCCAAAAAGAACGTTCAAATTTTGATATTAAACACTTAAAAAAACACTCAAATTTGGGTGTGATTTCGAACCGTCAACTGAAAGTTACATCCAATTGAAGTTTAACGCCCAAAAAAACCATCAAAATAAATAGCTTTATTATGTAAAATTAAATTGTTTTATTGCTAAAATAATATTAATTTGCAACATATTTCGGAATACACACAACAAAATTATAATTGGAAAAAAAAACCGCTTTCTCTCTCATTTGGGAATTAATTTCCTTATCTTTCTAAGCGGTCACCCATTCAATCTCGTACGCCATCCAACGATGCTTAACTTCTGTAGTCATACGGTCATGCTGCTTTGATGGTCCAAGAACACTGAATGTTAGTGAATGTATAACTGTGACACATCTCAATAGAGCTGCGTTCAGAAATATGTAGGTACCTCCATGTCATCTTATCCTTGTTTCACATTGGGTGAACAACAAGGATAAAATGATACATGAGGGATGATGTTTCCGAACGCAGCCTAGATAAAGTTTATCAAAAAGATGTTTCACGTATAGTTAATATATATTTCTTTCATAAATGAATCTGCGGCATCCATATTCAATATTTCAGCATTAATTCTCAATCATAAAGATTAACATTCAAGTGACTCTTACACTCAATTTTGAAAATGACACTCAAAGGTTTAAGCCGTTTAAGACACTCATCTACTGAGTATCATATACAAGTGTTGAGAGTAAACCGTGGTTGGGTGTGACCATCAAATTCAGTGTATAATATGGTGTATACACTAAATTATTCATCAGATTTAATGGTCACACCCAACCGATACCCAACATTAATTGTTGACGATCAAACCTCAATACACCCAATATTAACGGTCAACACTGAATTTTGATGGTAAGTATCTAAATTTAAGTGTTAACACCCAAAATTAAAGGTTTCTTTCATAAGGGATAATAAGTATTGTTTTATTATCTTTTCTATCTATCCTATATTCAAATATTCATTCAGGATTAAATTTTATATATAAGTTGGTGCACAGAAAAGCAACATAAATGCACATTTATGTAGAACATATATTGTTTTCTAAGATATTCTTTCAATTATTGTTTCATACTGATTTGTGAACATGTTACTATTGAAATAAAAAATATTCTCATATAACGCATATATGTCATACAGATTTTTATCTCGTTTTTTATAAAAGACATTTTGTGATTATTAATTTTTGCTATTTATCTCAATACACCGACTTTAGCTTAAGCTTTTATAACTTATCCATATGTAATAACTGGATTTTATACCAATTAAAGTAACATGATGTAAGATCCAATATATATTTTGTTAAGAAATAGAAGAATTTTATCTCGTAATTACTTTAAAATCGCGTTCCAAGTTTTACGTCACTTAAAATACTTAATTTTGAAATAATAAATTTTATACAAAAAATGATTTTAATAATTTATAAAATACAAAGAGATATGTTTATTGATGCACAGAAAAATATCAATCTACTGCTAAGAAAAGTGATTACTTAATTTATTTTCTTTCTTTTAAGTAACGATTATTTTTAACAGAGAATATTTTCTTGATAATAATCTTAAAATAGACTTATTACAAAATTTTAGAAAAACTCATTACTATGTATTCAAAACAAGAATTTATTTTCTTTTGAAGAATATTATAAAATTGATCGAAGAAACGAACTTTTCATAATAAGTATATAATCGAATTTGTTTTAATTTAATAAACTTGAGTGGAATATTAAACATGTCAGGATTCAGAATATATTTTGAATAAATTTAATGCTTCTGATGAAATTGTGATAAATTTATGGATAAATATATGAACTTTCGAAATACTTGAAATAAGTTATTATTACTTGCATAGGGTAATTATTACTTGAGTATTTTTCTGTGTGTGTGTAAGGGAAAATTATCCTTTTCGGATCTTGCATCATTCATCTGAATTTTTCATCTCCGCATGCTTTGAGATGTGATTCAGCAACGAATCGTTCGAATCGTTAAAAATACGTACTTATATGATGGGCCCCGAATTTTATCGGATGATAATCAATTTAGTAATTTTCAGTTTATTTTTAAATTAAAGTTTTGTTTTTTATGTAGTAATGTTTATATTGAAAAATTTAATCCACATTTACGTAAATATTTAAGACTATTTAAATCAAAACGTTGTTGACATAAAATTTTTTAAATTTAGGTTTATTTTTAGTCAAATATTTATATTTTTAATTTCGAATAAACGCGACATTTATTCGTATATTATGGAATTATTATTATTATTAATAATTGTTCATATTAATATTTAGTCAATTTCATTAATATGATAACCTCTTCGTGACGCGTTCGTGTTTCGCGCATCGCATAAAAGCGTAAAATTTTATGCGCTTATTACCTGCTATGTTAATTGGCAGCAGTCGGCAACAAAAAGGAGTATTTCTCCTTGTTTTATTAATCTGTTTTTTTCTTGTTTAAAACATGTTTTTTTATTGCTTAAAAATACAAAATAAATCAGAAAACATTGTTCTAAATAAAAAAAACAATGTTTTTTGTTTAAAATAAAAAAAACCATGTTTTTTAACAACCCTGGTTCATACATAATTATAATATTCATGCATAATAAATTTTTTACCGGGTAGGTTGTAGTGTGTAACACCAATCTTAGTTTTTCAAAGGATATATGTGTAAAGATAAATTGAATATTCGAGAGGGTAACATGCTCGCAAATTGCGAGTTCTTATATTTTATGAATTATTGTTTATTCAAAATACAAAAATAATCAATAAACAACAGGGCTGATGAGAGTCAGCGCGGATAATCAAGCGTAAGTTTTGTATGATTAAAAAAAATCTACAAAACTTGCGCTTGATTATCCGCGCTGAAGTACGCGGGAGCAGTTTGTAGTTACAAGAAAAAAGTCCTCATGTCCTCTCTCAGGTTTCTCTCTGGTGCTGCAAAAACGAGGGTTCATTCGATCGATCAGCGACTTCACGTATATATATATGTATATATATATGTATATATATATTTAAATAAAGTTTATTTTGAAGCATTTTGCACAACACTGCTCTACACATCTGCTTACGTAAGTAAAATAATCCCGATCGCAAGAATCCGCTTCGATATAATTATATATTTATATGTACACACCTTATAGAGACCAAGTTCGTTGGATTAATATAGTACATGGTGAGCTGCCGAATGATTCTCGAATATATATCTCTCTCGAGTTTGTCGCCACTTGTTTTTAGAGTCGCCTTTTCTTAGTGACTAGGTCAGTATATATCTTAAGTCATGCAGCGACTTGTAAGTTTTGACTACGAATAAAATGGCGAATATCAAAAAAACGTTCCTTGCCGCTACGCAGAAAAGGTTTTGCATAAACATCGCATTGTCTCTGGTGTAAATGCAATAGCATCCGGCTTTGGCAGTATGATTTTTCATTCTCTGATTAAGGTATACAGCAGTGCAATTTCTTTTTTCTTTTTCGCTTATTAATACATATTATGTATCGTAACTTAGGTCTTTCTTAAAACCTGTTGACGGCTTACAGCTTGAATGAATAAACGTACTCAACATTGAACATCGTGCGATAAGTAATGCAAATATAGGACCTATCTTGCAAAATGAACATACAGAACATCGAAAGTTCAAATATACGTTATTTCTCTACCCTGTATAGGCGACGACAAGATTCTGAGGTCCTGGTTCGCATCTGCTCTTGACCGACACAATAATAATTGTTCACGTTTTGTACTTTGTAAGTTAGGTAAAGCCCATTCTACAATTGCATAAGCATAACTGGTTGTTGTTGTAAGAATTGATCAATCACAATCGAATATTTTCCTCATGTTTGACTGTGATTGGTTAATTCTTACAACTACAACCACTTACAACTTAATAGCTTAGGGTGCCTTCCAACAAGCGACTCAATACAATACAGAGATCATCTCATCCTTGTTTAACATTGGCGAACAAGAAGGATGTAATAATGCACCGTGTCACACTATGTCATGTCTTGTTGGAAGGCATCCTTAATGTACATGTTCATCACAACGCTTGGATGACCGTCGAGTTGTCCTTTGAAAACTCACAATAGCAACGTGATAGTCAGAGAAGCCCCTTGGAGTTCTGCGACATATTGATCGAGAATTACATTCGTTACATCGCCACGAAGTAAAAAAGAAACGCGAAGAGAAAGGATACATAAAAAATATTGCACAAAAGTAGTCTATACATTATGAATTAAAGTCGACGCGCAATGTCTTTTGGATGGATATTTTATGCACGGAATGGAAGAATTTGTCACGTTTTATAGTAACAGTTTGATAATGACGTTGTAATTTTTTATGACTAATAATAACTAACTAAACACTGAGATTGCGCTAAGGTTGAGAAAGTCTCTTTGAAAAGTAACGTTACAAGTAATGACTAAAAAGTAACGAGTTACAAATGCCGAGTTAATTTTTTCAGTAACGAATGACTTTCAACTCGTTACAAGTAACGATCGAATAACTTTCCAATCTTGATGTTACTATTATAGTTATAGAAAAATTCGTTATTGCCAAATTGTTATTATAACAGAGTAACAATAAGGTACATAACGGCATTACAAGTAACTAGTAATTTCCATTCCCTGATTTTATCATTGGAAAAAATAAAAATAACGTGAATACCAGAATTCACATTATCAATCTAAATGCAAATCCGAAATGCGATAGAACCACGAAGAACGTCGAAAATATATTCGTTCAAAAAATAGCGTTTCTATGTTGCACCGATGAGTATACATTGGCTGCGTTCAGCAGACTCAACAGTTTTGCAACCGTTTTATGATTGTCTGCTGAGATAGGACCATTCTTCTAGATCTAAAAGTATGATCCAATTAGCGCGAAGGAAACTTCCAACAGTTGCAAAACAAACGTTCTGCTGAACGCAGCCATTGCATTTTAAAAATGCTCTTGTACGACAGCCTTTTCACGCGTTATATCTTAACGTCGATCGGCGAAATGTTTTGTAATGAAGAAAAGGATAGACTCGATTGTCTTCGTCGATATCGTATACGAAAAATATATACATGCAATAATAAATTTAACGTTTAGAGTGCTTTCGCACAATAGCGCAATCGCGAGAAAATGAAATTCTCATTCCATTGTTAAGAATTAGGATCGAGCTCGTTCCAAGTAACAAAGAAGTGGCTCTCGCTGCAGAAAACCAAACCTGCTTCGAGATTTCTCATCAGCATTTTAATAAATCGATGAAAGACTTGCAAAGACTGATACTATTATCAGCGAAGACGTACCTCTCGAGGGGTGCTACCGCATAACCAGTCATTTATCGATTTTGAATAATATCGAAAACATGCCAGTATAAATCTATAATCATCCTTACGCGATCTTCCTAAACGCGACTTTTTTTCATTGCAAACAATATTGTTATACGACTAGCTTCTACTCTCTATACAACCGTAACTCGAAGGATAATGAAAATATCCTTCCTAATCGTTCTTAGAACGTATCCACGCCACAGGAATCTCGAAGCAAAGGAAACCAGACCAGAAATCTCGTATTACACGGGAGATTCCATCGATCAGAAAATACCAATTGCACTCGATCAAGATACAGAATGAGCCTGATGAAGTGGAAATCAGTAGGGAATATTATTTAACGATCAAAGAGAGAGAGAAAGAGAGGGGGAGGGAGAGGAGGGGAGAGAGAGAAAGAGACTATTCCTCAACAAAACTTGAGCTGTTAATTATGAAGCAATTAAAATTAGAACTTCAAAAGATATTGATTCGCGTATCGTGTGGCGTTTGTGCAGGCACACGTGTCTTTGTGTTTTCCTGGCTCTGGGCAGCTTTTGAGCCTCTTAAATACTCAAGCTCGTTTATTAGATAAGTAGGCCTCCGGATATTTATTAAGGTCGGCGTCGAATTTCTCAAAGGACGTATTCCTAATACCGATATCTATCTTTCAGGTTCATACAGTATATTGAGAGAACAGATAGAGAATATATTTCGAGTTAAATATATCTTTTCAGAAGATAACGTTTCAGAGTCTCTCTAAATGCAGCGCAACATCTTTAAACGTCATTCTATTATTTTCTTTCACACGTATAGCATTCATCCCGTCAAGCAACAGTCATTCACAGCGGCAGTTACATCGCAGCTTCCGCTTTTTTCGGTACATACATCACTCATTCTTACGAGCTCTTACGATATAGTCGTGTCTCGAAAGCTTTCACAGCGAGAAAAATTTCAGAAAGGTCTGCGGAGGGATCGGCACATGGAGAGATGCTTGGTCGACGTCCGCCAGTTTCTCTTGAAACGCAGGATCCTGATCTGCGATGCAGGGATGACCCAGCGACCGCCAGAACAAGCAGCGGCAATTACGGCATAATTGTATCATCTCAGCGTACTCCTCTCGCAATCCGAACAATCTGGACATAATGAAGACACATAGAAAACGTATAATATACTGTTGACAAACGCAAAGTTACGAATGCTAAACTGACGTTTGCAGTAATCTCGATTCTATCGCACATAAAAGAATTTGCCGTACCTCCGAGCGATAGTGAATATGGTTTTCCAGTCTTTCCCAGGATTATTCTGTCTAGTGGTAGCAATTTGCTGCGGCGTAAAATGATACTGGGCAAGCTCGCGCCAGATTCGCTGTTCTTGCGCTAGAACGGCAAGGTGTTCGCACGCCTCGGAAGAAGCTTCGATGTCTCGAGGGTCGCTCAAGCGTAGGAGGATCTCTCGACGGCACTCAGGCGGCAGATCCGACCACTGAGGTTGCTGCTCCTCATCCGGCTACAATAACTCGTTCGTTATTGATCAACCTTTATCACGAATTTCCTTGAAATCATTCCATCCTAACTTTAATGTAATTTTTTATTACGTTACCTGGGTAATAGTGATTGACGAAGCGATTTGCAATATTCTCTCCAAAGCTGCTTTATGTTTCTCCCACAGGATAACGGAACCCAAGGGTCTGCCGCCCCAGCAGCAGCCAGCGCTAAAAGCTCGAACTCTTTCTATAAGACGCCGCAACCTTCCTGTCTGTTGTTGCGACAGTGACACTAAAACCATCATGAAGTTCAGCATAAATAACATTAATTTTTCTCTTTCTATAGGAAAAAAGATGTTGATAAGTAAAGAATATCATGAAATATGCTGGATAAATTTCACAATGGATTACTTAAAGATTCTTACAAGTTACTTAACAAGACTTTTTTACCTTCCAGAGCGACTTCCTCGAGCATATTGAAGAGCACTCTTTGAGCGCATCCGCTAAGACCACCCATTCTATGACTGACCAAGAGATCCAGGAGACGGACTATGTAATTGAATCGACGGCAGTCATGTACTGCGGACAGGAAATCCAGCCTCTTCAAAGCGTCGCTGAGGCCATTGAAGCCAGCGATCTATAAATTTAGGAACGGATAATAATTCTGCTCGCTACGACGTCTAAGTATAGGAGATACAATTCGTCGACAATTTGTTACGGGTATCTTTTGCTCTTTTTTCTTACTCGCCGCACTCAACCTGTCTTTATCGAGTAAATCGCAGTCTCTTTCCTCTTGTACAAGGTTGTGTCTAAATTAAGACCAGGCCGAAAGAAGTCACTCACCTCGCGTGTACACTTCAGCGTGATGTGACAATGTGGTTGGACGGCGTTTTCTGAAATTTAAGAAAAATACTCGTTACTTCGTTCGTCGTTATTATGGGAGCATTGTTTGACTAAAAACACTGCTCTTATTGCTCGACAAAAAATTATTTCTTCAGATCTCGATATATTATTTGAAGATCTTCGATAAACATCTGGCTCAAATCATTAATATCGCAATAGAATGAAACACAAAGAAGGAAAATATCTACGATATGAACTTGGATTTATAATTATAGCTAACGAAGGCCTCACATCGGCTAGAATAGATAAAAGTTCTCAAGTTTCCAATATAGGCTACACTACGCACCTTTCTTCTTGTCCTTCTCTTTCTTATCGCCGGCATCTTTTTCGCCGCTGTAAGAAAAAGTATCCTTTAAACGTGATAATTCTTTAAACGTGATACGTCATTAAATTCCTTAAAATTTAAAGAATTTATTGAAACGAGAAGCAACGCGCAAACGTAGAGTTTTTGCAATTAAAAAAAAAGACTAAACTTGTAAAAGTTGTACTAAAAGTTTTGCACGTTGATCCGTTCACTTTTTTCATATTTCAGTTACATGATATAAAATATAATAACAAAAATTTCATTTATCTTATTTATCTATCGAATAATTTATCTTATAAACCTATGATTTATCTTATGCCCAATGGAAGTGCGAAGAAGATACTTCCTGTGAGATGCTGAGAGTACTAATATACGAATCCCAATTATGGCACAATACACCGCGACCGGTTTCAGCGAACTCGCGGCTGCTGCGTCTCAACGGCGTTAGCTTCGGTTCGACTATGGAAAGACTATCGTGGCAAAATAATATTCGAGAAACAACTTCGTAGGACTTTATTTTCGTTTTCTTACAATCTTTCATATAGCATTTTGTTTCACAAAATACTTGTAAAAATATATCCTACTGAAATATTTCTAAAAGATTTTCTACACTAATGACGATATATAAGATCAATAATAATTATTATTCAAATTAATTCAAACTTAAATAATAATATAGATACTTAGATAATAATTATCAATTTTTATAATATAATGTCGATTTTAAATATTCTTACAAAGGAAGCTATATTTTCTTGCTATTTATCTAAACATAACTAATATTTTCAATAAAAAACAATGAACTTTTAATTTTTACCTCTAATACTTAAACAAATTTTTAAAAAGTAAATACACTTTACTATTAAGTGACTGTGAGTTACTGATATTATCATCGTGTTGGTATTCGACAAAAAAAGAAGGAAAAAACACACGTAGGCGTTCGTGTCTACGGTATAATCATTTAAACAGACCACGACGAATCCGTCTCGAGAGTGGTACCTTCACCATCGTTCACGAAGATCGTAATTGCTTTATAACACGTTGATCATAATTAAGGTCGACACACCTTGTATAGACATTAACAGCTACTTTCATCCAATTACGTTCTTATTTCAGTTGTGGCACATAAGAAGTCCGAGGAAGCGGAAAAATGCATCGAAATTGCAGCAAATCGCATTAGGCTCCGCGTTTATATCTCAGGATGACTCTATAGCCTCTTAATAGACGCGACATTAGTTATTTAACTGTCACTAGATTACAGTGCGTTCTATTTATAAAGAAAGAGTTCGAATACGTGCGTCAACATGCATAAGATTCATTCTCATTTTTAAAATGTCGGAGATTAAATCGTGCAAAGTTGGGATGCGAATTGCGGCCATCCTTGCTCTAATTTAGAAGTTTTAAAACACTCGCGATCAATACCTATTGAATTCAGTCTTTTATAAGCCCGTTTAAAATATGAAATCTACGATACGAAGATAGGAATCAAATTCTGGTGTATATAATGCGTTCCGATTTCTTCTCCGCAATTATTCATGCTATAAAAACTTTCAGCTATAAAAATACTTGCATAGAAACTCAATTCCTTCCAAGGGTTTAAAATTCTTCATTTTCAATTGTAGAAGAATATAACGAATGCATTACGTTCGGATTTGAATATAAAGATTGAAAGAGATACTAGATTTCTTCACTTTATCATTTATAGCAGATTCTTCTATACAATTTTTATATATATATATATATTATAGAAAAGAAATATTATTTCTCGAATATATATCCTAAAGAAATGCAAATTTGATTCTTTGCATTAAAAACTTGTAGCAAATTTCATTGTTAAATCTTGAAAAGTTTACCATTATGTCGTTTCAAATTTTTATGAATCTTGAGAGAGTGTCTTAAAATATTTAAAATAATTCTTTTCTTATTCTTTTTTTAACATCTAGATGCATTTCGTCGCACTTCACTTGTCGCGCTTATCATTTTGTCTACGCAAGTAACGGCGAACGTTCTATTATAGGGACGCAACGATGACCTTGTATGTTAACTCGTGCATATATTCGCATATATGTACAAACAGCCTCGCGTGCGGGACGTATTTGTGATTTTTCCGCATGAACGAGACTAGATGCGGGAAAACATTTTTCCATTTTAATATATCGATTGGTGATGCGTGCCCTTGCCCTTTCAAATCACCGGGCTCGGCGATTAAGGTTGTCGAATTACCTATAGGGGATTTGATATTAATACGCTTATATATTGCAGGAAAGAGACAGTGAGAAAGAGAGAGATCTCGTATCATTAGTTAGACCACAGGATTACATAACAACTTGTAGCGCTCATTACTAGATCAACTGTAGACACGCACATATATGCACGTGTTAAACAACGAACCGTAAATGCGGAAAATCCTCCACTGTGTAATACCGATAACTTGCAACTGGAGCGATCAATGTCACGTCAATGTTCTATGGCTTGAGGGTAGAAGGACAAATATCATATATATCGGAACATACGGATTGACGTCATATTATTCACGGTGTCAAGATTGTTCGTTTTATTCTAATAATAAACCGGTTGGAGTAGATGATGTTGATTCAAACATTAACAGTATATGAATTATCAATAATTAAAAACAAAAGCTTTTGCGTTTTAAAAGTATTTAATTTATAGTGTCAGACTTCAGTGTTTTATGATTTTATGGTTAATAACAAAAAGCTTTTACTTCGTTAAATATTATCTCGATAATATTTATAATACAGAAATGAGTTACATAGTTTCAAAGGTATAAGTACATACTTTGATAGAAGATAAATATGGCTTAGAAAGTTCTGTGGTCTCTTCATTCTTTTATTCTCTTTCTAATTCCGAGATGCAGAAGGTCATCGGTTATTTTAGTTTTCTGTAATATACGGAGATTGATGTACACAAATGCATTCTCTGCATTCGAAATATCATCATTGCGCCGCGCCGTTTATTTTTACGATATAAAACAGTCGAGTTAGATACATCCAAAAAAAATTTCGAGAAAAGCAAGTTTCGAGAGACTCGATTAAAAAATTCTGCAAAAATTCTGGAAAAAATTCTCAGAACTTTATGAGAAGATAAACAATTTTTGTCTCTCACTGTTTTTCTATAAAGTTGATAGTATTTGAGTAAAAAATTATTGAAAACCAATATTCAGCGATTTTTAGTAATTAATATCTCGTTAACTATTGCGAAAATTGCAAAATGGTAGAGGACTTTTCGATTCAGTTTAGTTCGCTCTATCTTGCTATGATATTCTGATGTGCTAATTTCCGGACACCCTGTATATCTTTTTAGCGCTTTAATTTCGTTGTTTCCTTTCAATAACATAGTTTTGTTTAATGTTTAATTTCTACTTGTTTTAATTTAAGCAACGCTCGTTCCGTGACAAACGTTCGCGGGTCAGGCCAGCCTGATATGTAAGCTGGACGATAAAGACGAATAACAATGATTTTTTTTACACGCGATAATCCCGCACGGAAGGGAATATAGTACAGAGTGGCGGCACTTTCATACTTCGCAACGTGCGAATAATTAATTCACGAATATAGAAATCGGCTGGTACGTAACTTTTACTTCCACCGAGTTCACCGACCCTTCCATGGTGCGCGCACCACGTCTAATCCCGTTTCCAAGCTGGGAAAACGAGCGTAGGACGGCTATACGGTTGAATCGTCGAAATAATGGTACGGGCGCATCGGCCGTGTGTTGAGTCGACGAGGGAAATAAAGAAAACCAGCTTTCAGATTCTTTCGCAACAGTCCGCGTACTTACCAGTCATTTCGTCTAACTGTATCAAGATTCAAGATCATTATGCGTGCGCGGTATAATAGTATCAGCAGAAAAGGTGCCATTAATGCACGGCAATCAAGTCGATCCTGATTCCAGTACAAAGATATTTTTTATGAACATGCCTTTAAATTTAATAAGTTATGTATTCCTCATAGGTTTCTCTCAGAGAGAAGACGCGATATTGTTTCTTTATTTGAGGGTAACTCTTCCAAGACTCTATACTTGACCTTTTTATTTGGATGATGTGAAGGGATATATAAAGTTGAAGAGATTGAAGAAAAGTCTCCTATTAAATGTACAAAAATAAAAAGAAATACAAGATACGCTTTCATTGTACTGCACCATTTCCCGAGTTAGCGTCGTTGCTGCGTTTTACGAAAGTAAAATATCGTGGTCGACAACATCGAGTCGAATCCACATGCACGAAAAAGCCGCGCCGTCTAACCGAATTTATCAAGGCTGCATGGAGTACATATACTGTGAGGGGATTGCGAATTGGCGCAGGTCACGTTGGTAGCTGGGTCACGACCTACTTCCGCACTGGTAAGATGCACGCGTCAGTAGTTTCCCGTTTTGAGAATTCGATCTAACTCGCGCTTAAAGGATACCTGATCCTACACTGAAAAAAAGATTGGCTGCTGCAGCAAATTAGATGGTAAAATATGGCATAGCATTTTTAATTGGCTGCAGCAGCCAATTTTTGGTTATATTTTCACAAACCGCTCAAAAATCGGCTGTTTCAGCGGCTCGTGAAAATATACGTTTCATCGACGAAAATGCTGTTCCCGTGCAGGCAAGTTCAAAGAGGATTCGCAATATTGTGAAAGTATACGATTTAGGCTGTGGTCCATTTGACGCTACAAATGCTTCGAAACATTCTTTGATTAGTCAATTCGTAAAATTCTTTGTTCTGATTGATCGCTCAAACGCTTCGAAGCGTTTGTAGCGTCAAGTGGACCGCAGCCTTAGTTCTGTTTATATATACTTTTCCTAAAGAAATCGTATAAATTTTGAATTTTAATACGGTCAATTTTACGTGTTCAATACATTTAACATGTATTGAAATTTATCCGTTTTTACACTTTACTTTTATCAAGATAAGGGCGAGAAATATATGTATATGTGCATTTTAGTATACGTATAGCTTACATATACTACAGAATCTCAGAAATAGAAATGCGCGCATTTATCGATAGATGAGAGCTACGAATAC